CAATTTCCCTTAGGTATATAAAATAAGAGAAACTCAGTTAATGTATCAGGAAAAAATTGATATAAAAATGTCTGTCTTAATTAGGGGTCTGGGCCTCAGCTTGGGCTTCTGGGCTTTCCCTGCTTCTAATGGGCTCAAGTGGACAGAAGAGGGTTTATAATAAGGAAGTCATTAAATCATATTACCATTCCGTATCAAATATAAATAGTTCTTACATAGCACATATTTTAGTGATAATATATGGAGTGATTAAAAAACTATAAAAAGATTGAAGTGTTCAAAATGCTTATCAACTGAAGTTTGCACTAATGTCACATTCCAATTTGTGTCACTTCTCAAGGTAAGATGATAGCCCAGTGGTATAAACCTGAGTACCAAAACACATCCAGAATATAGCCAAGGAAGAAAAAAAATCATGCAAATTGAATACGCGCGGATGAAACAAGTTCTGCAAGTGCCTTTACTTACACCATGGTAGATTAATTCAGCATATTCATGGCTGCATTTCTTTGAAACTCGGTCCACAAACACAAACTGATGATTAAGGACAGAAGTCCCAGGATATTCACTTCTGCATACTCTCCACTTGTCCAGAATAGCTGTCCTTGATCTTTTGTCCCCTTTCACCATCTTCAAATAAGTCCATTTCATTTATTTCAAACTTTGCTTCTTTATTGACCCTGAATGTAGGATTGCTCAGAGACAAAGCTCCCAGCAGTGGCTTGCTGTCCACTCCTGAACATTATATTAACTGGTGTGTCAGCCAGGAAATCTGTAAAACATGTCTGAATACTGTAAGTGACCAGGCTAGGGTTCTTTGACCACTGATTAGCTGGGACCAACCAACACGCTGGGTCCATAAGTGGAGGGATACAGGAAACCTAAGGCATTAGATATTTTTTTCATTACTGATAAAAAATACACAACACCCAAAGTTAAAAAGGAAGAGATTTATTTAACTCAAAGTCCAGAGAGGTTTCAGTCCATAATCAGCTGGATCTAAGGTAGGGATGGCAAACAGTCATTGCAGAGAAGAAACAGCATAGCACACACAAGGTGGCAAAAGTAACAAGAGTTTAACATCTTCCTGCCCCTCCTCATCACATCCAGACTCCCCGGATTAGAGTGGTGCTAAAAAGTCTCACCTATCGTAGTTTAGCAATCACATGTCCTTAACCCCAGCATCACACATTCCAGATTCAACTCTCTCTGAAGAAGAATGTCCACCTCATCTTCATGAAGTTTTGCTTGGACATCTAAACACAAACTGTAACACCGGACTTTCAGTAAGTACGTGTTTCAGAGACCAGATAATAAACAAGGCCCTGCTCCTTCCACTGAGCTACCACTGACCACTATGATGGTACAGGCCTTCAGTTGGAAAACTATGTCCTATGTGCCTATAGGTATTTCACACTTACAGTATCTGTCTCCAATGAATCATGGGTGAGAATACAATTAGGAAATTGGTTACAAAGGTGCTCTATTACGTTTAATTGCTTACAGACTTAGTAACATCCCTTTGACATTTTTGCTCATACTGGGCATTAAACACAGGGATTCCCTCTGAGCTGTAGCCTGAAATTTCTTAATTTTTTGAGACAGGACCTCACCAAGTTGCACAGGTAGGATCTAAACTTATCCTCTTCCCTCAGCTTCCCAAGCTACATGGAGTATAAGTATGCAGATTTGGGCTGACCATTCACATTTTATGCCACACTTTCACTTCTAAAACATGGAAAAACAAGTCACGGAGATCATGCATTGTCGATCACATGGATAATTTTCTGAAATGTTATGCGTAAAATGACTTCAGTTCATCTTTCTGTAGTGCTTTGTTCAGTGCCAATCTTTAGAGGACCAAAAAGTATTTTTGAAAATTGAAAACTTTCATACACTGCATAGGCACTTGTATACAAAGGTTAACACCATGACATTTCTATGGAGGTAGGCAAGTCTCATATTCCTGAGACTGAAAAAATTGCAACTACCCACAGCATCACTCACTTGTAACAGTAGCACTAGTCAGAGGCAGAATCTTCACAACTCTAATCCCAGACAGAGCTGTGCAGTCCTAACAGGCCTCAAAATAAAAAATAAAGCCTGGAGATTTATCTTACTATGAAAGCCCTGGTTTTAACTGCACTGTGAGGCAAAGAAACTGTTCTTCACAAGGGCTTAGTTTGAAAATGAGCAAAACTGAATAAATGTCAATACAATTTGTAAAGTTCCTATGAGATAAAAATCTTTTTTTCCTCACAAGGAGAAAAAGTGAGAACCAAGACCTGTCATGTAAAGGTGCAAGATCCCAATGATGAATGTAACTGTACTGTATAACTAAAATGTACCAATAAAGTCAATGAGAGTAAAAAATAAAAATAAAAATATTTTCTCCAGAGTGGTTTTGTGATAGATGCACTCATATTACATACTGGCCATAGGATTTTATTCACTGCAGAGCAGAAGTGATCACATTTACAGTATTTTATATTAACCATCCAGTGCTTCTATCTCCTTTCCACTTACTTCTGCTGAAACATGACTTCAATTCTTCAAGCCTTATCATATAGTTTATGTTTAAAGGGCTTCTTTCCAGTGGATGGACCCCTTTACTCAAATCTAACTGAAATAGTCTATGGTTCTCCCATGCAGTGTCTCTTTACAGGCTTTCATAACCATGTGAATTTTTAGGTCATTAAAGACGACAGATGGCCTCTGCTGAATGGTGGCCAACAGCTTTGTGGATTCACATTACTGGTGTCCATATTATGAGCACCCTGAATTCCTGCTTACCCAGTTTAAGATTTTGCATCTGTCCTTCTGCACACGTTGAAATCCCCCACATTGTGAACTTGGGTTGTACACTGCACCTTTTCTGATATTTTTTAATGACATCATGATATATATTACAATCATGCTGCTGGGTTTGGGGCACCTTACTGCCATCCTTTACTCTTACTCCAAGACAGTTTCCTCCATATGTACAATCCTATCAGCTCAGAGGAGATATAAAGCATTTTCCACCTGTGCATCTTACTTGTCAGTAGTCTTATAGTTTGTTCCTAGGTATTACCTTAGTTCTGCTATTATCCAAAACTCAAACCCTACAGCAACAGCTTCAATGCTGTACAGTTGTCACACCCATGCTAAAACTCTTCACCTACAGTCTGAGAAATAAGGACATAAAGAGTGCTGTGAAAAGACTATTTGAGAAGAAATCAGTAAAGTGCCCACTGTCCTGGGATTTTAAAAGTGCTATGGATCACAAGGCTCAAAACCTGAGGTAGAAATGACCTTGTTTGTCAGATTGCCAAAATTGAATTTTCTAATGATTGTGTAGTTATTTCAAGTTTTCTGAAAATATGTAATTCACCTTTTTTTAACTCTCTGCTCCAGCATCTAAGATATTTTTGACTTTTATCACTTCTCAAGACTATATTTACACATACGATGAAAAGATTGGAAATTTTTATTTATCACATGAACATGACTAAGAATTTCTTCTTAGAGTCGGGCATGTAGTCCACTGCCTACCTAAGTTCAATATCTGGTAAAAAAAAAAAAAAATCTTCTGAAACATCGTAGGCCATAATTATTTTTCTTATACTGTTATTAGAAAACATAATCATGAAGAACTCTGAAAATATATCTAATTGTATAATTTTAGAGTAATTTCTGAAATTTATCGTTGCACACTATTGTGTCCATCAGGCTTTCATATATCATGACCTAAGTGCTCCCCCTATAATGTCGATTATACAGACTAGTGGGTTGGCTTCCCTCTGTTCTTCAGGCTATTGTCTTCTTACTCAGCTTCTTTAACTTCCATACTAATGGGGAAAGTTATAACCAAATACACACCTTCTAGCAATATCTACATGTAAGAAAAATTTTGAATTAACCAATTAATATGGCCAAAGAATCAAAAAGAACTTACAAAATAAGATGTCTATAATCCATATTGTACTGGTATGAAACATTTCATCTTTGGTGTTTTAAATATAATAATTGAAGTATGGAAGTCTGTCTTCCATGTCCAAGTGTTTATTCAACTGATTGACATGTTTTATTATTGAATTATTTGTTTCTACTTGAAATCTTCTAATTTTGCCTAAAAATGTTAATGAAATATCTTCCTTTTCTAAATTATTCCATCACAAGTAGAGAAGTAGTGAAAGAGCACTGTAAATAATCTTTGTGCTCAGGAATCATTTGGATCCATGTTCAAAGCAGGACTCTCAAAAAGTTTGAATTCCAGCCCAGTCATGAGAGTTTCAATGACAAACTTTCTTGCACAAGTCTTTTGTTTTTTCACTTGGAATGCAAACGCTACGAAGTCATTTTAAAATATTTATACAAATAAACCTGAATAACAGAGAAACTGTGGGTATTTTAAAATCACAGACCAAGTGCCACAAAAAATTGCCAATTTTTATAATTCTGTTGTTTATTATATGCACTGCTTTTTGTAAAGGTGTTCAAGTTAAACATACCTAAAAGCAAATGGTTTTATATAACATCTTTTTTAGCAATGGGACTGCATAATGAGGATTCTGAACACTGCTAACTCATCATGTATTTTACTCTGTGGGTCATCTGAGATGATTCTGCTGAACTTGCCTGGGCTGCTTAATATACTGGGGACTCAGCTGGATGCTGGCTAGCCTGGTCTGGCATTTGTCAGAACTGGATTCTCATCAACATGACCCTTCTCTTCCAGCTAGGTGGCCTGGGATATCACATAGTGAGGTGGGATTCCAACACAGATAAGTACAACTGCTCATTGAAGTCCTTTGACACAATGTCAGTCTCACATTCTTTTGACCAGAGCAAACTAAAAAATCACAAATTGACTTCAAGTCTTATGTGATGATTCTTTCCACATTTATCTTTTCACCTTTTAAATAAAAGAATGAAAATGAAATGGTTATCTACCCATCTCTGGGGAAGGGCCAGCATGAACATGGTCTCTTGCCTTTTCTGGATTATTGAGTCTGTTTACCTTCTGGGGAACAAGTCTCTTTTCTCTATCTTCAAAATCTGTAACACAGTATCTCCTCTCCTACAGGACCTCCTTGCACTTGGTTTATAAGGATCCTAGTAAAAAAAAAAAAAAAAAAAAAAATCAAGCCCACCAAGATAGTACCTTATAATCCTCCCTCTTCGGATTCTAAATTTAGTCACATCTACAAATTTCACTTTCAAAGGGAGGTGACAAAAATCACAAGTTGTATGAATTCAAGTTTAGACCCTGTGGGAGACTATATCAACTACAACAGTGACAAAAAACAGCTCTGACCTCAGAAACCTTGTTCATAACATTCTTGCACTATCAAAACATAGTTCTCAATTTGCAAACTTGCTACAGTGGAAGAGTCAGAAGTCCTGTCAAAGTTCTGATGGTGAATAACCTGGTCTTCATAAGCCACATGATCTCTTTCACAGACTCAACTCTGCTACAGTAAGTATGAATGCAGGAACTGACAACACATAAATGAGTAGGGGTGACCCCCAGTTGAACATTACAGATTCCAACATTTCAATTTCATGTAAATTATAAACACAATGAGACTTCGCTCCTCTTAAAATGAATACAGGAAGGCAAATGCAGCTGGTAGCATGTTTGAAAATGCTAATTTCATGGGGCTTGAGTGTAGATTAGAAATTTCCAGAGGCCATACAAGGGAGGAGGGAAAAGAAATAATGAAACAATATTATGTAGGAGGGATAAGGGCTGCTGTTCAACTGCACCATAGGGGGCTAGTGTATAAAATAAATACATGATTGACAAGCCAACTGTCCTGAATAGATCATTATACAATGTACGCACTTATCAGTGTCATATAGTACCCAGAAATGTGTAAACTTACGTTCAATCATAAGTGCCATTTTCAAATTAATGGAAATATTTTAAGAGGAAAATAAAAATGTTGGTGAGACTGAGAATTTGAAACCCTCACACATTAGTACAGGAAATGTAAAATAGATCAGCCCATGCAGACAACAGTTTGGCAATTCCTCAGAAAGTTAAAATAGAATAACCATGTAGCCTGGAAACTGCGTATCATACCTGTGTACCCCCACCAAAAACAGAAGACAGGTTTCAAATGCATGCTTGTATACTGTACACCAATGTGCATAGCAGTATTGTTCGTAGTAGAAAGGAAAAAAGGTGGGGTCTTTAGCAGATAAATGCATAAACAAAATGCCGCACATTCGAAGTAGCATGAGGGATGGGGATTTAGCTCAGTGGTTCCGTGGCCTGCCTTGCAAGCGCAAGGACCCGAGTTCAATCCCCGGTACCAAAACAAAAATAAATAAATAAATAACATGGTACTCATCCAGTTAAAGAAAGACTACTTAATATATGTTACCACAAGGATGAACTTTGAAAGCACTATGACAAATAAAAAGCAAGATACAGGGACTAGAAAATGTGAAGCATAGGATTAACACCTTTCACATTCTGATATATGAATAACAAGTATTTTATATGAATAACAAGTACTTCTATAAGTACTATGTAATTCTAATCTTATAAACCAAAGAATTCCTTTGATTTTAATCATGGCAGAGTAACTAAATCAATATTTAAAACATAAACTCAATGAAAATGACCCTCCTTTTCCTAAACACATGCTGCAACAAAAAATGTAATATAAGAGAAATAAAGAAACATATGATTGGAGTTCAAATATAAAAGATTATGAGTGCTAATACTGTTTACAATAGAAGTTGGGGTGAGGGCAGGCATTTAACTCAGTGGTTTGGCGTCCTGCCTCGCAAGCACAAGGTCCCAAGTTCAATCACTGGTCCCCCCCCAAAAAAAGCAAGAAAGGAAGCCAGGGACCCTTTGTGACTCCTTGAAGACAAAAGTATATCTCAAGATAGGGTGCAAGGAGGTGCTACTTTATCCCATTTGATACACAACAAATAACTGTGAACAGAAAATGGAAGCAGCAGTCCTAACTCACATCATCAGTCCTAAAAGTGTAAGCCACCTGAAGTGTCTGAGTGTATCCAGTGACTCTTTAGGAGGATCAGGAAATAGAAGACAATGCTATCACATCACATTCATTAATTATTTACAAAACAGTGATAACATTCCTTTCATTTTGGGGGGTGCAGTGGTAATGAGCACTGCACACAACACCTTCTCTGAACTACAACCTCAGGGCTTTTTATGCTTTTGAGACAAACTCTCGTTAAGTTACCAATGTAGGATTTGAGCTTGCAAGCCTCCTCTTGGGCTGCAAGAAGTACAGGTATGTGTAAAGCACACTTTCCCCTTTTGCCATATTTTAAAGGTCAAATAGTACAATGATTGAAAGATAAAAACAATATGTATAAAGCCTTTAAAATTCTACTGCATACTTGTAATTTTGTAAAATGAAATAGCCTGCATTTTGCTTTTCTTAATATTTATTGGCCTTATGTCAAGTTGCAATTTTCACATGAACAAAATGAATCTGATAAAATTGAATACATTCAAGGGCCAGTGATTTAGCTCAGTGGTTCTGCCTCCCAAGTTCAAGGACCAGAGATCGATCCCTGGTACCGAAAAAAAAAAAAAAAAAAAAAAAAAAAAAAAAAAAAAAAAAAGAAAAAAAAAAAGAAAAAATGAATACATTCAAGTATTTTTCACATATGTAAAATTTTTTTAATCTAATGTGCATGCCCACAACATATTCAAAGGAATTGTCAATTAATGGCATTCCTATAATGTTTAAATAAAATTCAAACCTGGCCAGGGATTTAGCTCAGCAGTTTGGTGGCCTGCCTTGCATGCGTAAGGACCCAAGTTCCCCGATACCAAAAATAAAAAAAAAATCAACCTGTATAGAGTCAGGCGTGGTGGCACACTACTGTAATGTCAGCACTCAGGAGGCTGAGGAAGGAGGATCACTGTGAGTTTGAGACCAGCCTGGGCTACGTAGTGAGTTCCAAGTCAGTCTAAACTACACAGTGAGACCCTGTCTCAAAAAACAAAACAAAAACAAACAAACAAAAAATTCAACCAGTATTGGTGGTACACACCTATATAGCCAGCAGTGTGAGAGTCTGAGGTCAGAGCCTACAAATTTCAAGCCTTGCTAGGGCAAATTAGCAACTTAGTCACTACCTGAATAAAAAATAAAGGCTTGGAATTTAGCTCAGTATGACTATCCCAAGATAGTTCTCCAGTAGTTTCAAAATTTAAAAAAAATGAAAGAAATTTCTCTCGGTGAGTTAGGATTTCAAAATAAAGACAGAATAGTCAGGTATGTGGGCACATGCCTCTAATCCCAGCACTCAGGAGGCTGAGGGCAGAAGGATCACTGTGAGTATGAGACCAGCCTGGAACACATAGTGAATTCCAGGTCAGGCTCAACTACACAGTGAGACCCTGTCTCAAAAAACAAACCAACAACAACAAAAAAATAAGATAGGATGTCTGAAGAAATGCAGTTTATATTTACATATGCTCCAGTCAGTTTTAAGTCTTCAAAGTTGTGTAATGTGATGGATGTTTCAACATATCAATAATTCACAAGGATCCTTTCCATTATGGAACCTTTTAACACAACAGGAAACAGAAATACTGAAGTTCACTACAATGTCTGCCATGTAGGGCTTGTAACTCCTTTGTATCTCACTGTCCTTTTATGACACTATGATACTAAAGGCTTTGCCACACTATTCACAACTAGAGGGTTTCTCTCTACTGATTTGGCTGGCCCATGCACTCAATTCTATATGAAACTAACGGTCTTACTGTTTTAACTTCACATGCCTCCGCATATCTCAGTGTTTATATGTCACTGAAATTCATAGGAGTAAATGAAGGTTTTATCCAATGGCTTACCTTCATTAGGTTTCTCCACTGTGTGTCCTCTGATGACGTTGCAAAGAGGTGCAGTGACCAAAGGCCTTACCACATTGTTTACATTCATAGGGTTTCTCTCCGGTATGAGTTCTTTGATGCACTCGGAGGACAGTGGAATAAGCAAAGGTCTTACCACATTTACATTCATATGGTTTCTCACCAGTGTGAATTCTTTCATGTGTTCTCAAGGTACTACAAGTACTAAATCCCTTACCACAGAGTTTACATTGATAGGCTTTCTGACTAGTGTGGGTTCTTTCATGAGATCGCAAAGAATTGGAAGAAGTAAAAGCCTTATCACATTGTTTACATTCATAGGGATACTCTCCAGTGTGAGTTCTTTCATGTGCTCGAAGGGACCAAAGAACAACAAATGCCTTACCACATTCTTTACACTGATGGGGTTTCTTTCCAGTGTGAGTTTTTTGATGCTGTCGAAGGTCACTGTCCCGAGAGAAGGACTTACCACACTGTTTACATAAACAGGGTTTCTGTCCAGTGTGAATTCTTTCATGTTCTCGCAGGATCCGAGGAAAAGCAAATGCCTTTTCGCATACTTTACATTCATAGGGTTTCAGTCCACTGTGAGTTTTTTCATGCTGTTTCAGGAAACCCCGATAGGAAAAAGTCTTACCACATTGTGTACACTCATAGGGTTTCTCTTCAGTGTGAATATATCTATGAACTCGCAGGGAACTGCCATAAGTAAAGGTCTTACCACACTGCTTACATTCATAGGGTTTCTCTCCAGAGTGAATTCTTTCATGAAGTTTGAGGGAAGTGAGCCAAAAGAAGGACTTACCACACTGTTTACATTCATAGGGTTTCTCTTCACTATGACTTTTTTTATGATGTTGGAGGCTACTGTAATAAATATAGGCCTTGCCACACTGTTCACATTCATGAGTTCTGCATCCAGTGTGCATTTCTTCATGCACTCTGAGACTATGAGCGGTAAAATAGGCCTTATTACATTGTTTGCATTTGTAGGGTTTCTCTCCAGTGTGAGTTCTTTTATGCACTCGAAGGGCAGTGGAATAAGCAAAGATCCTACCACACTGTTTACATTCATATGGTCTCTCTCCAGTGTGAGTTCTTAGATGATTTTGAATGCTACTGGAGTAAGCAAAGGTCCTACCACATTGTTTACATTCATAGGGTTTCTCTCCAGTATGGCTTCTTTCATGCCCTCTAAAGCCATTTAAACTCTTGAAAGCTTTTCCACAATCCTTACACTTATAAGGTTGGTATCTGGTATGAACTCTACTGTGTAATTTTAATTCTCGAAAGCTAACAAAGGAATTCTCACATTCTTCACATTTGTAAAGTTTCTGTACAGTACAAAATTTTTTATGTAACTTAAACCTACTGGAATGTTTAAAATCTTTACCACATACTGTACATTTGTAAGTTTTTTCTGAACTATGATTCTTTTCACTATGTTGTGAACGCGTGGAAACACTGAAGGATTTACCACATTCACTATATGCATAAGGTTCTTCTTCAGTGTGACTTCTTTCATGATTTTTAAGTTCTGAGTAGTACAAAAATACTAATCCACAGGTTTTACATTGGTGCTGTCTCCCTCCAGTATGCCGTTTCATGTGTATCTTAAATGTTATGTGGTAAAGAAAGGCTTTCCCACATTCTTTACATTTATACTGCTTTTCTGCAGAATGCAGACTTGTGTTTTCCTGTAAGTCTTCAGAAGTAAAGGAGGCTTTGCCATATTCTTTACATTCAGAGGGTTTCTTTTTATGAATTCTTTCATGGGTCTTAAAGAAACTGAGGAACTTGAAGGCTTTGTCACACTGTGTAGATTCATACTGCATTCCTTCCGTATGATGATGTTCATGTTTCTGAAGCCACTGCTGACAACTAAATAGTTTGTTACACACCTGACATCTATATGACTTCTCTGCATGTTCCTCACTCTCATGTGGTCGATAACTAGCAAGAAAGCTGGGTTGAACTCTAACAAATGCTGGATGTAGGAGTTTTCCACACAAGCTGCCTTTACGTGGTGTCACACAGTTGGTAGGGGTTTCCTTGGTGAGACTGGGATTTGCAACTGAGGTGACATTTTCTCCACACCGGTAACATTCACCATCATAAAGTTTTTCAAACATATGACTCCTGTAAAGAAGTAACAGCACATTACCAATGACTTCAAATATTCAATAGGAAATAGAATTCTTTTAAACATACTTTAAGAGGATATAGTTTTTCTTCCATGTCAGAATCTTTTCAAAGTGAATAAATGGAAGGTTCTAGAAAAGTATTTAACCATCACTAATATCACAACAGTAAGATTAGTAGGCCAGTGGACTATGACTATAATTTCAGCTGACTGAAGCAAAAGGATCTCAATTTCAAAACCATCCCAGGAAGCATAGCTGGGAAGACTTCAAATCAAATTTTAAAACAGAAGTTGAGATAAATGGTCACAGTAGTACACACTTGGAATCCTACCACTTGTGAGACAGAGTCAGGAATTCACAATTTTCAGGTTGCCTATATTACACAGCAAGTTGAAAACTAGCTTATGTAAGACCTTTCACAAAAGGATAAAAATGGAGTGTGACTGAGAGTAATGGCTCAGTGAAAAGCGCTATGGTGAATCCCTAATAACAAAAACAGGTATATTCATCCCTAAGATTGTTATGCCTTGTATCTAGACCTCCCCTCAAAGCCTCATGTGCTCATAGATGGGGCTTTTAGGAGTGAGCTGAATCTAGGTTGTGTGATTGATATATGCATTAAGAGTGTTTGGTACTAAATTAGCCCTCTGATTGGTTTAGCACAGTTCTGAGTATGGATAATAGTAGGAAGGACCACCCGTGATGGAGAAAAGGTCAAAGGAAGTTTTTTATGTTGTTGCTGCTTGCTGCCTCCTGTCTGCAATGGCATGGTCTGCCTAAGGACTACAACTTTTACAAACTGTGAGCCAAAGGAAATCTCTCCTCCTTTAAGCTGTGGATGATGACAAGGAAGGAAGATGAGGATTTTGAGCACTGATGACCTTGATACATATTTTTCATGAAAATTTTCCAAGAAGCATTTTAGATCTGGGCTTATACTCTACTCTACTTGCTCGTTTTCAAAAAGTCAGCATCTATGAGTTTTCTTGACAGTCACTATGTACTGTTGTGAGTGCAACTCACCTTGGATTGATCTCCTGCTTTATGTCCTTTTCTGTGTTCTGCTCTTTCCATTTTGTCCCTAAAAGTAACATCCACAAAAATCACATAATAAAAATTATAGAAAGTTAGGATTCCAGATGAATAAATAACTTAGACTCACTTTTTCTCTAAAGTTACATCTTTTTCAAATTTTATAAAAGAAACCTTTTCTCTAATTCATTAAATGAAGGAATACCATCATCCTTACCCACAGAGGCCAGGTTCCTCATGGTTTCCCTCATCACATCTCTGTAGAGTCTCTTCTGGGAAGGATCGAGCAGAGCCCACTCTTCCAGGGTGAAGTTCACAGCCACATCCTCAAAGTCCACTGCATGCTAAGGCATCCCAAAAATTGGCACAAGAAGATGATAAGTCTGGAAACACTTGGAGATGTACCCTTAAACCCTAAAATGTTCTGATACAACTCCATGATTTCCAAATATTTCCTGAATCATTTGATGACCAGAACATCAAACCTCGTTTTATTATAAAATTTTAAAGTAAAGAAAACACAGAAATTATTTCTACATTTTTATCTGTAAATGTCACCTTTTTTCTTTTCTTTTCTTTTCTGCTAGTTTATGAGACAGGGTCCCACTATGTAGTTCAGGCTGCCCTTGAATTTAAAACATAGCCCAGTCTGGCCTTCAACTCATGCCAACCCAACTACTCAGCCTCCCAAATGCTAAGTTTACAGGCCTGTGCACCACACCAGGATCAATTCACCTTTCAATATGAGAGGAATGATAGATATTCAAGCAACAAAGCAATGTAACCAACTCCATATGAGATAAAATGTCATTTGGCCTTTATTATGCAACGTATCAGCTAATATTTCATGATACACAAAGAGAAATGTAGATGTGATTTTAATGCATCAATTTACCCTGAAAATTATTCCCATTAACAAATATAAAAGGCTAGGAGGCCTATGGAAGTAAAATAGGTAATAAGAACTAGTTTGTTCAAAGATACTACCTAGCATTAGATATACTCAAACATGACTACTGTGCTGCACATTGAAAATTCCAACTACTTGGGAAGCTGGGACAGTAGAATTGTGAGCTTGAGATCAGCAAGAGCAATAAAAATAAGGGTTTAAAATGTAGTTCACGGGAGGCTAAGGCAGGAGGATTGCTGTGAGTTCAAGACCAGCCTGGTCTACATAGTGAGTTCCAGGTCAGTCTCAACTACACAGTGAGACCCTGTCTCAAAAAAACCAAAAACAAACAGCAACAAAAATATAGTTCAGTATTAGAGTGCAAACCTACCATGTGTAAGGATCTGGGTTAAATCCCTAGAACCAAACTATATTGAAATAGACTCAGGAGAAAAACAAAAATAGTTACTTGTGACTTGTGATGCTACTTGGTGATAGTCACTGCTTGGCATATGGAAGGCCTGGAGGTCAAGCCCCTGGACATCGATTATTTACAGTACTAGAGATGGAACCCACCATGTCTTACATGCTACCCAAGTATTCTACAAGTTATCAACTGTGTTAATTACTTTTCACATTGCAGAGATAGATACCCAACACACAGAATTAAAAGAAGAAAGGTGTGTTTGGAGAGGTTTCAGTTCATAGTTGGATGGCAATAAGCAAGGTGGCATGCCAGAGGGGCATCATGGAGGAAAAACAGTTCATGGCAGGCAGAAGGCAGTAGCTGGGGATTTAGCTCAGTGGTTCACCACCTGCCTTGCAAGCGCAGGGTCCTGAATTCAATCCCTGGTGTTAAAAAAAAAAAAAAGACTACTAGGGATGGAATTAGCCCCCATGTCCCTTTATTTATCCAGGCTACATGCTCCTACAAAGGGGAACACTAACACCACACCCAGGGTGGGAGACCCTTAAGCCCACCCAGCACTCTGCCAAAACAATCACACACCTTTATCTCAGCATCATGCACTTAATCCAAGTATCACAAACTCTAGATCCAGAAATCTCTGAAAAGCCCTATGACCACCTGAGGCTTTAAGGGGACATCTACATACAGGCCAAGGCAGAAACATACAGAATTCTAAGTCTTATTTTGGCATAAAGTCTTGTACTATCAAACTGTGTGGCCCTGAACTAATGATCCTCCTCCCTAAAATCTGTGACTAGCTGGAATCACAGGCAGTTGCTCCCACAACTGGCAGGTTTATACAAATAACCATATGTTAATTCAGATTGCCTTTTAGCAAGAGAGAAATACAGGGCCAGATTATGATATTTGTTCGTATACAGGTATTGTATGTCTTTATGCAAGCCCAAAAATAACATGAGAGATCTGATCAATTTACCTGACACATATAGGTCTATAAAAACAGAAGTGATATGAGGGGTGAAATCAATTTACCTGACACATATAGGACTATACAACTAACTCATACTGCACCCATCAGGATAATCATAAGTTCTCACATTAAAGACTTGACTTGCACCACGGATCTAGCTCAGTGGTTCCACTGCCTGCCTCGCAAGCACAAGGACCCAAATTTGATCCCCATACCAAAAAAATAGACTTTAACTTGCTTATTACAACCACATCATGTTCAATATTCAAGGAAAAGCAAAAATTTATTTTTGCGGATTTTTGATAAAGGGTATGTAGTTTAGGGTGGTCTTCAGCTCAATATATACCCCACGCTGGCCTTGAACTCACAGCAATCCTTCCTTCTGTGTCCCCAGTGCTGGGATTATAGATGCATACCATCACACCTGGTAAAAACAAATTATTTTACAAAATGCAGTTTGAATCCAGGTGTAGTGCCATACTCCCACAACCTCAGCATTGAGAATCTAATGCAGAGGATCCCCGGAGTTCCTGCCAGCTTGGGGTATACAATAATTTTAAGGCCAGTCTGAACTACACAGCAAGATCGTGTCTCAAAAAAAGGGGGTTGAGGATTTAGCTCAGTGGTTCTGGCTCCTGCCTCGCAAGCACAAGGACCCAAATTCAATCCCTAGTACCAAAATAAATAAACAAGTAAATAAATAGCAAAACAAAATAAAAACTGCACAATTTGAAGCCAAGCGTACTGGTATAAGCCTGTAATCTCAGGATTTAAGGAAGCTCAGATAGGAAAGACCACAAATTCAAATTCCACTTGAGAGGGCCGGGGATTTAGCTCAGCGGTTTGCTAGCCTGCCTTGCAAGCACAAGGACCCGAGTTCAATTCCTGGTACCAAAAAAACAAAAACAAAACGAAACAAATTACACTTGAGCAACCGATTAAGGCCCTGTCATAAAATTTTAAAAACTAGCAGGGATATAGCCCAGGGGTAGATCATACCTAGGTTTTATTCCTAATACTCACAAAATAACATGCCCAGTTTGAAAAGCACAAAACCCGATACAGACATAGAAGAGCTCTTAGAATCACCAGGAGAGTTAAAATCGGTATCTCGAACTATTTATAGGAAACAGCTAAAAATGTGCATGAACAAATATATTTCAACCACAGATAAGAAAACTGTAAGAATCAAAATGAAATACACAGCAAAAGAAATGAAAAACTGCTTTTAAGACTCATCAAATCAAATCAAATGTGTGAAAAATAAATCACTGATCTCAATAAAATGTACACAGAAACTTCAAAAATTCTTATGTAAAAAGGAACATAGAATAGAATATCCAAGACCTGGAGGAAAATGAAAATAGAACTAATAGGTCTTGTATTGCAGAAATAAGGTATACTGGAAAACTCATGCGGGCTGGGGATTTAGCTCAGTGGCACCACCTGTCTCACAAGAACAAGGACCCAAGTTTGATCCATGGTACCAAAAAGAAAGAAAATTCATGCTATTAAACACATAAACTGTGCCAAAAAACAGAGATGTAGACCAATAATCACAGCATCTACCTTAGAAAATAAAAAATGGAGCACACAAAATCCAGAGATAAATGCAAGAAAATAAACCTTGAGATGAAATGAAATTGGAAGACTGAGTTTAGATAAGCAACATAAATGAAAGCTAATCCCATAGAAAGATCAATCAGGTAGAAAATGTCAACTGGAGCTAAATTAAGTATAAAATAATGAAGAGTCAGATGTGACACCAAAAGGCCATTTTCCAACCTACATGGGAGGTTGAGGGGGAAGGATGACAAGTCTCCAAGGATGCTAAGATCAGCTAGAGGCCACGTAGAGATGAGGTCTCAAAGAAAAAAGTGACAGGATATAAAATAAGGATCTGTCTGCATATCTCAGTTGTATTCTTAAGCAAACAGGTCCTGGAGTCCATTCTCAGCACAAAAAGGGGGTGCAGGGTTAATGATGGTTAGGGAGATTTGTCAACTTTTTTCTTTCCTTTTTGAGATAAAGTCTGATTTATGCCTAGAGTTAGGCTGGCCTTCTACCCATGGAAATTCTTGTCTCAACTGATACTATATGCATGAACCACCACTCCTGGCTCACTATCAACTCTTGATTGATGTTGGGATCCTCCCTGGGGTTGGTGAAGCACACTTTAAATGTGACACTGGGGAATGTCCAGTCCCCACTTCTTTCTACCCCACATATTCCTCTCCTCCGCTTTGCAGTCTCCATGAACTAATTAGCTTTGTTATGCCATGGTTTTCTACCAGGAAACAATGAGCAACTTTTTTTTTTTTTTTTTTTTTTTGGTACCGGTGGCGGAACCACTGAGCTAAATCCCCCACCCAATAACGAACAACTATAAACCTCTTTTCCTTTAAGATGTGAGTATGGCATACTGTATCGCAGTAAGAATGGAGCGAACCAAAGGAAGGGGTTGTGGAGCAGAGGCAATTGATTGAAAGGCCTATACTACCAACCAATGCTTGATTTTTTTTTTTTTTTCCCTGACTGTAGGAAAAAAAACCCAGGGCATCCACACTAAACAATATCCCTGAACTTTTGATTTTGAGTCAGGATCATAAGTTCCTAAGTTGAAAGGGCTGAACTCAACCTTGCAATCCTTTCCCCTCAGCTTCCCAGAGTACTACTTAATGAGTTCCCTGCTAAATAAAATAGTCCTAAACCCCACATCCTAAATCAAATAGCTCTTCCTGCAGATAATCACTCAGGCAGATAATCACTCCGAGGAAACAAAGACCCAACTTTCCTACCACAAAGCTCTCCCACTTCTAGTCCTTCCCACAGGGAAATTTGAACTTGCCGATGGATTTAAACCTCACATCTACCTCCACTATGCTCCCCCCTTTATTACCACTTGCCCATATAAACCTCATCCAGCCAGCCCCTACCCACTGCTCTCACCATTGTCCAAGACACACCGCACCCAATAAAGGCCTAGTCTTGGGTGTTCCTGTCTCCAGCTGGAATCCCGTCCTGTCACTAGGATTACAATTGTGTGTCCCACTAGGCTCCTGCCTTGTGCTCATATCATGAAATAGTAACAGACGACTCAAGAAATTATGTAAAACAGTTATTTAGGATTGGATGTAACAAAAGTCCTGGAGTGGAACAAGACATTTGGCAATGAATTTTCTGATCTTAGATTTTCATCTTTTGTGTAATTTTAAGAAGTTTTCTGGCATTGTTACCATGACCAGAATCTTTTTTTAAGCCACAACTATGCTTTCCATAACATGTTTCAGGGCCGGGGATTTAGCTCAGTGGTTCCGCCGCCTGCCCGTCAGGTACAAGGCCCAGAGTTCAATCCCCGGTACAAAAAAAAAAAAAAAACCAAAATAAACAACAACAACAAAAAAAGATGAACAACAAACAAAAAAAGTCAGAAACTGAAAAACAAAATATATTTTCATATTTCTACTAATTAAAGTAAACAACAGCATCATTATTTTCCTTTCTAACAATGTGGGCTATTACTAAGGACAGATATCATACACTAAGGTTTAAGGTTTAAAATCAACCCTTACAATATCAAAACTTTTAGAGGAATGTGTATTTTCTTTGCGTAGCTTTCGTTTCATTTAAAGCGCGTGCCCAAAAAATATATTTTCATATTTCTACTAATTAAAGTAAACAACAGCATCATTATTTTCCTTTCTAACAATGTGGGCTATTACTAAGGACAGATATCATACACTAAGGTTTAAGGTTTAAAATCAACCCTTACAATATCAAAACTTTTAGAGGAATGTGTATTTTCTTTGCGTAGCTTTCGTTTCATTTAAAGCGCGTGCCCAAGACCAGGGACGTAGTTTAGAGGTACAGCCTAGCACAAGAAAACGCCAGGGATCCACCACAAACGCCATTTAAAACAACTGAAAAGTGCACGTGAGAACGTATTACTTCAACTCTGCGATCTCACTTTCAGTTTCTCTTTCCGACAAATGAAACTTGTTTGATTTGAAATTTTTAGTTTCTGACCATTCCATCTCGCAGTCGATTCACCTCTTCCCACTAAAACCTGGAAACTACACAGGATCACACACAGGTAAGGAAGTGCCCATGCTAAAGGAAACTAAACAGTGGGAATATTTAATAACGCGATCTGAGGTTAAACTCCAGGCGTCCCAGAGGTCGAACAAGGCTTCCCGGCTCCACGCAGAAGCGAATGCCCGCTCCTCCCAGGCGCTTTCAACTTAGCGTTGGCCTGGAGCTCCCGCTCCGGACCCCTGTAGGTCCAGACCCGAAGTCCTCACAGGGAATCAGCGCTCGCCGGATCCCCGCCACCTAGTAAGTGACACCCGCCGTGCGGCGGAGCTGCCTAGAGAGGGCTCCGGCCGGCCTGAGTCTCCGCGCAGGGACCGACAGGACCCAAAAAAGACCGGAGCGGACCGGAGGGAGCGCCGCCCGCCTGGGGATTCCGGAGCGCACCGGTCCACCACGTGGCTCCGCAGTGCCCACAGCCCGGCTCCCCTGCACTCACCACTGCCATCTTTCCGCTGCTGGCGTCTCCTCAGCACCCAGGAGGACAGCAGGACAAAGGCACGGCGGAGAGACCACCGAAGACGCGAAGCTCCGCGTGGGCAGTAGGAAGAGTCACACGGACTGAGCCGGAGCTAAGTATCCGTGGTCCTTCCAGCTACGATGCTGATTGGACAGTTTGATGGCCCCACCCGTTTCCCCTCAGAGAGATGCGGGGTTGGGGGTGCAAGCAAGTGATTGGCTAGAAATGGCTTCTACTCAGGCTTGAAATTCAGCAGGGCTCTCGCTTCTATTATAGACAGCTAAATTAGTGAAAACAATATAAGCAGGGGCCTGGGATTTCAGTGGAACCGCCTGCCTCACAAGTGTAAGGTCCTGAGTTCGATCCCCATTTGCTTCTCCATTTGATCCCCATGTAATCAATATTACCTAAGCAACTACATTTGTAATCTTACGGGTTGACTGTAGTTTTGTCCCACCTTGTACCCGCCTCACCTCCTGGATTTACTCTATACCTCCCTCCTGTACTAACCCAGTTTCAAGTGTCCCTTCTGGCTCTCTTAGAAGCTGTCTTTTCCTCTGTAAATGTTTCCTCCTCTTAACCTCCATTGTTCATAGAATTCATTCTTCTTCAACCTTAGAGAACACGGACTCAGCATAACACATATCTAATTGGTTGGCAGTTATAATATTTCCTTCATACTGTTTGGATTATTTGGAAGTCCAATACCGCATATGCCCTATGTCACTTCCACCCACCCAACTGCACTGTGTATATTGCCTGTATAAGTGATAAGTGTCTCCCTCCCTCCGTCCCTCTCTCTCTCTCTCTCTCTCTCTCTCTCTCACCCCCTCTCCTTCCCTTCTGCTCTCCCCCTCCCATCTACTCAAAACCTAAGGCATTGTCACCAAGAGTTCCGGAACTGAGCTCCACCCTCAGCCCTGAGGACATTCTCAATTTCCATAGGGTCAAGTACCTTCCAAGCATGAGACTAATTTCTACAATTGTTTTCACTTAGCAAGACGGGAAAGACCTATTAAGAATCCTCCGGGTCTTGGTGGAGAGGGTAGCTCTATTGTAGAGTAACAGCCTACAATATTTGAGGTCCTGGATCCAATCCCCTATTTCACCAATCCCCCATTTCAATACAATTTAATTCTGGGAGTCTGCTCAACCTCTTGCACCCACTTTTACTTTCTGACTCTGAATTTGACTAAGGTGCTTCATATAAGTGAGAAAATATGATTCTTTTAAATTTTTCTGTCTCACTTATTTTATTTATCACACTATATTTTCAGACTTCAAATGTCGAGGGGTAAATGTCAGAAATTCATTTTTCTTACACTGGGAATTGAACACAATACCTTGCTCACACTAGGCAAGAGCTCTACCATCTCTGAACAATGTCGCCAGCTTGTTGGTTTTTTTCTTTATTCCTATACAAACTTTCCCAGAAGTGTCTCAAACTTAGAATTTTCCTGCTTGTGTCCATTAAGATGATTGTGGAGTATGTCACAATGGCTACCAAAGCACATACTTCATTCCTGAAACTTAGTTGTAGTCCGTCTTTTTTTTTGGGGGGGGGGACCGGGGATTGAACTCGGGTCCTTGTGCTTGCGAGGCAGGCAGTGGAACCATTGAGCTAAATCCCAGGCCCTCTTACCTGTAATCCAAAGCACTTGTGTATTAAGTGAATTTCCCCATAAGAAATATTGCAAACTCAGATGATTCCTTCCGTAATCCCAAAAATATTCATATAAAATGATTATAATACTGTAATATAATGCACAATAGTAAAGAAAATCCAAAGCATAGAGAAAGTGAACTAATTAGATTTTGAATGCCTTGATGGTTGGAATGAAGGAAATGAGAAAGGAAGATTATTGTGTAAGATGACTTACACTATCACTAATGGAATCACCACGGTCTGCTGGCTCAATGGAATCTTTTTCTTTTCCTGCAGTTTTAAAAAGGAATATAACAAAAAGCACTTGCTTTTGCCTCCTTTGAAGTATTTCAAGAAAATGTGATATCTCATTGTTGTTAAATACATCACTTCCTCACACTGATAGAACCTTATTCAGGTGTTGCTTTTCTACAAAATTTTGCAGTGCTTCCCACATTTTACACATCTCCTTAATCTTATTTGAAGCGAAGGATTCCTCCAGTTTTTTCTCCTCTTCCTCTGTCGACAAAATTTCCATAACCAAGGGCCTGGGATTTAGCTCAGTGGTTCCACTGCCTGCCTTACAAGCGCAAGAACCCTAGTTCGATCTCTGATACTAAAAAGAAAAAAAAAACTTCCATAACCTCTTGTTGTTGGGAAAAGCTCATGAACAATCCCACAGCAAGAAAGAGAGAGGACCATTGGCTCACTTGTGACATTAGGCATCAAACATATTACTCATTTCAAGACATCACTGGTTTATCAAGTTAAAATTTATTAGAACTGTTTGTCTTGTGGAACACTCGTATAGCATGTTACTCACAATCCAAGGTTTGACTTACTTGTCATTTTGAATGTTATTTATTTAAGCATCCGCACCATCAATGATCCCAGCATTTCAGGCATTTCTTTCTGGACATTGTGTAGATTTTTCAAATTATTCCTTTTTGGCTTTTGCCCTTAATTCTTGCTGTACTTATCACTAAAAGAAGTTAGCAGTACCCGTGTAGCAGCCTGAACTCTGGGCTGGCTGAAAATTGCCTCCATCAGATAATTTATTCT